AGCGGGCAAAACAGAGGGCTGCATGCCAGGTGGCATGGACCGAAGCTGTGACATAAGTGCGCATTTTGCCCCCCGCAGTACGCTCCTACTTCCTGGAGTAGGTGCCTCCTCTCAGGGGGGTAGGACCCTAATCTCGGGAGCAGGAGACTACTCCCAGGGGGGTGGGGGCCTACTCCCGGGGCAGGACCGAGCCTATTCTCGGGAGTAGGAGCCTGTCTTTCCAGGGGAGGTAAAAGCCCACCGCCGCGGGGGAGCAGGAGCCTATACCCCTCGAGGGGTAGGAGCCTACTCCCGGGATTCGGAGCCTACCCCGGGGTGGGACGGGGGACGGGGTTGCGCCGTCCCGTGGGGAGCAGATTCCTCCCTGGGGACCAGGAGGAGCCCACTCCCGGGAGCAGGAACCCACTCCCAGGAGTGGGCGCCTGCTCCCGCAGGGGGCTCCTTCTCGCAGGGGTCGGAGCCTCTCCCGGTAGTAGGAGCCACCTCCCAGGGGGGGCCAGGAGCCTACCCCTGGGGGGTAGGAGCCTACTCCTGGGGGAGTAGAATATTGGGAGACTGGAGGCCAGGAGTTGCCTTCCGAAAGCCAGAACCTCCTCCATCTTGCCCTGCCCGTGGCGCTTTTCCCTGCTCCCGCCATTCCCATCACGATCCCGGTCTCGCTCTTACGGTCGGACATTTTAGGATAGCGTGTTGCTCCGTGAGTTCTGGCCCACCGCGCTTGTGCGCGACACGATTTCCAGTCGATATCCACATCCCATTGCCCAGACGTCAGCGTCTCGAGTTTTTCCCGACCTCCCGCCCCGCGGAGCGGAGCGACACGCTATCCACTCGCAAAGCACAGCGCGTCGCCGGGGCCGCCACGGCGACACGCTGAGCAACAGTTCCCAACCGCAAGGGAGGGAGGGAGGGAGGGAGGGAAGGATGAGGAGGAGGAGGAGGAGGAGGAGCAGGAGGAGGAGAAGCAGGAGGAGGAGGAGGAGGAGCAGGAGGAGGAGGAGGAGGAGGGAGTGAGGAGGGAGTGAGGAGGGGCGAAGGAGGAGGGGGATGGGAGGAGCTCCCGCCGCAGCCACTCTTTTGTCCGCAGCTGCTTGCGCTGCGAGCCGATGCCGCTGCCCGTCCAGCGCCCGTGGCCGCGGCGTCGAGGGCGTCCTGGCCTGGTGCGGCGGGTGGTGTGGGAGAGCTCCGCGGGCGTCGGGGCCGAGCAGGTCGACGGGGAGAGGAAGTTCAAATACAGTGGAGGCCCATGCCAAGAAACACCCTGCTGGCCTCCAGGGTGCCCTGGGTTTCCTGGGTTTCGATGGTTTTGCGATGGAGAGCGTGGGGCTCCCAAACCCAGAATCAATGGACGTCCTGGGGTCGCAGGGTTAGGTTTCCTGTGGAAGGTTTCTTGTGGTCGGGCCCCTGCTGTACTCACCACCCACCAAACTGCCCCAAGCCAACCCGAAGACCAACGGGGAGAGGAAGTTCCAGGTTAGCGTCGTGTCGACTGAGGGCTACACCGCTGCTGGCGTTTAAGGTTGAGCGCCTCTGGCGACCCAGAATCGGTCGATGTTGAACGATCCTGCGTTTTGGAAGCGGCCGATCGTTCAAGGTTGAACGATTCCCGCGGTGTCAGAAACCAACGCTAGGGTCGACACGACGCGAACCTGCCGTACTCACAACCCACCAAACCACCCCTACCCAACCCGAAGATCTCGATTTGCCCTCCATTTCCAGTGGGTGGGAGGGGTCGGGGAACCCTCCGCAAACACATGTGGGACCCGTACCCCCCCCTCAAACCGAAATTGGGTTCTTCGGGTTGGGTTGGGGTGGTCTGGTAGCAGCGCGTTCCTCGACTCGCAAAGTGCCTGTTCGCAGACGTCCCAAATAAGGGTTTGCCTCGATGCGATGGAGCCTGTTTGCTTCGACGCAGTGGATCCAGATCAGCTGCGAGTGGCTATTTGGCGAAAGGTGGAACGCGCTTGTCTATACCCCCCAACACGACGAAGCTGCGTACACATAAACTTTCCAGGCTCCTCGCGGATTTCGGGTATCAGGGCGGCGGTCTTCTGGCCCCCCTGGCGCGCTCTGCGCACCAGGGGGGATGCCCAGCGCGGATCCCAGAAATCCGCGCGGACCGTCGGATGTTTTTGCTTATGCCTCTGTCTCTTCCCCTAGATCCCCTCCCATGGTCGTCGTCGTTGCTGCTGCCGCTGCCGCTGCCGCCGTCCTTGCCGCCGCGGTCGTCGTCGTCGTCGTCGTCGTCGTCGTCGTCGTCGTCGTCGTTCCTACTCGAATGCCTCTTGTACCTCTAAAGGAGGAGGTAGCAGTAACACGAGACAGGCCTCCCCCACTCCTCCCTCGCCCCCTCCCTGGCCCTGCTCCCTTGGCCCTCTCCCTCCCCCGTCCTCTTCCCCCTCCGTATCACTTGCCTATCGACCTTGTGCACATCGGCCCGGTTCCATTCTCCCTTCCTCCTCCTCTTCCCCTTCCCTTCCCAACAACTTTCAACTACAAAATCTCGTTCTCCCTTCGCCTCCAGAGCCCTTCAGAGCCTCCTCGATCTACCACCCCCTCCTTCAGCCCTCAGAAGCGTATTCACCCTGCCCTCACACACAACCTCATTTGTCCACAAGCTCTCTCCCGCATCAACCGTTTGTGTGATGGACGGGGAATCCAGCTCGGCACAAGCGATGCTGGACGATGTCAATGTGCATTCCCCCTCTTCTTTGTTGACGTTGCGCAGACATGGATCGGAGATCGTTGCGTTATCCTCCTTCTTCTCCTCCTCCTCCTTCTCCTCCTCCTCCTCTTCCTCCCTCTCCTCTTCCCCATCCTCCGAGTCGACCCCTGACCTCTCCAGGGGCGCGTTCTGACCAGGATCTCGAGGCGAACCTGGCTGTGGCGACGAACCCCCCCCCCCTTAGCAGAGGCCCACCTACGGCCGAAGGCGTTACTATTCCTCCCTTCCTCCCATCTCCTGCAGGACAGCTCCGATCACCTCTGACAATGTTGTGAGGTCTTTGTCAGCCTTCGAAGCCATCCGACCCTCCATACGTAGCACAACACCTTCGACCATCTCCGTATGTTTCCTCCTCCACCTCCTACGGCCTCCACGGCGTGCTCTGATGGGCACGGGCGGGCTCTCGACCAGAGCGCACACGACTCCTACGTTTGCAAGTCTTCCTCTTCGTTCTTCATGCAGGCCCCACTCAAACTTGGTCTTCAGGATCCTTACCCCCCCGACGGCTCAGTCAAGGAGATGGTGTTTAATGTGGAGGAGGAGACGGAGGAGGTGGATCATGATGATGATGATGATGATGATGTTGATAATTATGATGATGATGACGATGACGATGATGATGATGAGGTGGTTGTTGTTGATGATGGTGGTGATGATGCATATTTTGATGAGGGTGACGATGATGCTGATGATGGTGATGATGCATATTATGATGATGGCGATGATGATACTGACGATGGTGATGCTGTTGATGATGATGCTGATGATGATGCTGGTTGTGGTGATTGTGATCAGGACCATGGCCATGATCATGATCATGATGTTGATGCCGACAATGGCCATGGTGCGAATGAACAGGATGTGGATGCTGATGTTGATGATGATGACGATTCTGAGGATGATGCTGAGGATGATGCTGCTGTTTCTGATGATGATGCTGATGCTGCTGCTCATGGTGATGCTGCTGATTCTGATGGTGGTGATTATGGCGATGCTGATGATGCTGATGATGCTGAGGATGATGATGTTGATGATGAAGACGACGATGCTGCTTTTTGTGATGATGCTGATGATAAGGCGGATGATGCTGATCATGCTAATGTTGTTGGTGATCATGATGATGATGAAGCAAATGATGCTGATGATACTGATGATGATGGGGATGATACTGATGGTGATGGCGATGATGAAGATGATGATGGCGATCATAATTCTGAGCATGATCATGATCATGATGATGACAACGAAGATCATTGTACTAAGGATGATGATGAAAGACGGATGATCATGCTGATGCTGATGCTGATGCTGATGATGATGCTGGTGGTGAATTTGTTGGTGAGAATGCTGATCATGAGGATGAGGCCGATACTGATGATGTTCGTGATGATGCTGGTTGTGGTGACGTTGATGATGATGCTGCTGATGATGATGCTGATGATGATGATGATGGTGTTGGTGATGATGATGGTGATAATGATGCTGATGATAGTGCTGATGATGATGATTCTGATGGTGGTGGTAATGGTCGTGCTCGTTGTGTTGCTTCTGATCTAGGATGGCAATGCCGATGCTGATGATGATTCGGATGATTCTGATAATGATGCTGAATGGTGATGATGAGAATGATGCTGATGATGATAATGATGATGTTGATGATAATGCTGCTTATGGAAACTGGATGAGGAGGATTATGCCGGTCCTGATGCTGCTGATAGTGATGCTGCTGCTGATCATGATGATGCTGCTGATGATGATGCTGATGCTGCCAATGATGGCGACGATGACGATGATGCTGATGATGGTGGTTATGGTTATGGTGATGGTGATGGTGATGGTGATGGTGATGGTGATGAGGACGATGTTTTGCGTTTGATGGTGATGATGATGATGGTGCTACTGATGATGAGATCGAGCTGATGCTGATTCTGATGATCAGGAGGATGAGGATTAGGGTGATGATGGGGATATGAGGAGCAGGAGGGCGATCATGAGGAGGAGGACCAGCAGCAGCAGGAGGAGGGAGAGGAAGAGGTGGAAGAGGAGAAAGAAAAGGAGGAGGAGGAGGAGCATCCTCCAATTTCTCATACGGCCGCCGTGTCCTCCAAGGTGGTGACTCCAGGAAACCGGACCAATCACTGGGGTTAAGGCGGCCCTGAGACGCAGTACCTCAGGTCCACTTCTCCATCCGACGCATCCTCCCCCTCCCCTCCTCCTAGATCCCTCCCCCCGTCCACCTGCTGGCCCCCCCCCCTTCCCCCCCCGGGGGCCTCCTGTTCAGGACGCCGCCCAGGACCGCTCGGACTCGCCCACCCCTTCCCCTGGGGACCCCGCGCGACTCTGCGCCGTTTCGGGCGCGCCGCGCCGCCCACTCGCCGCGCCGCCGCCGGGCATCTTGTCTTAGCTCAAGACCTGCATACACAAGACCTCATACATAGGCGAGCGACGGGGACAGGCGGGGTCCGCTGCGCCGGCACTCGCACGCCAGCGGCCCGCGGCAGATCGCGTGTCGGCGCCCCCCTCTCCACGCGGTGAGCCGCAGAGGCGGCCCGCGCAAGCCGCGGCGTAAGTTCGCTGCGTCATTTCAGGGCTCGAGCTCAGCGGTGTTTGATTGCGACTTCGTGGGCCGTTTTCGTTGCGATCCGGTTCTGCAGCAAACGCACAACGAAGACAGAAGGAAGCAGCACGCAGGCAAACGACAACGAGACACGCTGCTCAGCTCGAGCCCTGCGCCATCTCGCGCCAGACCCGTCTCTCTCCGTCGTTCCGGCGGCCCCGCTCCCTCCCCGGACCTCCGACGATGTGCTCCTTCCAGTCCTGGCGCCCTTCCCCTCGGGGCCTCGGGGCGGCGAGCTGGCCCCCGGGGGACGGGTCCGGGCCCTCGCGAGGCCCATGGTGCCGGACCCCCGGGGCCCCGTGGGCCCCAGGGCGGCAAGCTGTGGCCCCCGGGGACGGGTCCAGGAGGCCTGGTGTGGCCGCGGCTGGAGGAGCAGCATCGGCGGAGGTCAGGTTAACCCCGCCCCTGCCCTCGTCGGGGGCGGAAAAGAGGGGGGTGATGACTAGGGGGGGGTGGATATCATGGCGGGGGCCATGATATTTCCCCAGATTTCATGGCGCCTCTTCTTATTTCATGACGTCCCTGGCCCCCCCGCTGGGCCGCGCACATGCCGCCGGTCATGATTTCCCCCCCCCCCTCCCCCCTTTTGGACACCCCCCTCTTGGCCGCTCCCGAACTCGGGACCGGGCGTCGTGGAAGCAACGGGTCCACGGCCATGGGCGTTGCATCGCCCCGCTCGAGGGCCCCGGGATCCGTCACGGATCGAGAGAGAGAAGTGGTGCAGCGGAGTGGCAGTCGGGAGCCTCGGCCGTGATCCTGCGCGGCGGCGTGGTTGTCCACGGCGGCGGATCTCAGGGCTTCTCCATGCAGAGTCCGTCGATACTCGGCCCCTGGACACGGCTCCGCCGGGAAATCGTCCAGGCAACTTCTCAGGGCCGCGGGCAGCCGTGGAAGGGAAGAATTGAGGGGCGATGGAGGTTGTGATGGTGGTGAGGATGATGATGAAAATGATGCAAATGATGATGATGCTGCTGATGATGATGATGAGGAGGAGGAGGAGGCGGAGGAGGAAAAGGAATATGAGGAGGAGAAGGAGGATGAGGAGGAGGATGATGAGGATAATGATGATGCTGATGATGGTGATGATGGTGCTGTTGTTGATGATGCTGCTGATGATGATAATGATGTAGCTGATGATGCTGATGATGATGCTGATGATGGTGGTACTGCTGATGAGGATGACGATGGTGATCATCATGATGAGGCTGACAATGCTGATGATAATGACGTTGATGATGCAGACGCTGATGATGATTGTTGAGATGATGGTGATGATGAGGCGGAGGATACTGAAAATGCTGATGATGCTGACTGCCGGTGATGGCGATGATGGTGATGCTGATGATGATCATCATCATGATGCTGATGATGGTGATGACGATGATGATGGTGGCGACGATGACGACGACGCTGATGGTGATGATGACGATGATGATGATGATGCTGAGGATGATGATGCTGCTCATGATGAGCATGCTGTTGATTGTGATGCTGCTCGTGGTGGTGACGACAAAGATGATGATGACGAGGTGATGATGAGTATGATGAAGATAATACTGCTGTTGCGGATGATGATGATGCTGATGATGATGAAGACGCCGATGATGCTGATGATGCTGATGCTAATAGTGGTGATGATGAGGACGGCGATGGTGATCATCATGATGAGGCTGACGCTGCTGCTGATAATGATATTGATGATGCAGACGCTGATGGTGACTGTTGAGATGATGGTGATGATGAGGCGAATGATACTGACAATGCTGATGATGCTGACTGCAGATGATGGCGATGATGGTGATGCTGAGGATGATGTTGACCATGATGCTGATGATGCTGATGATGCTGATGATGATGATAATGAGGCTGAGGATGATGATGATAATGATGCTGATGCTGCTCCTCATGATGATGCTGTTGGTTGTGATGCTGGTGGTGGTGGTGATGCTGATGATGATAGTGATGATTTGATGATGATGCTGATGATCATGATCATGATGCTGATGATGATGCAGATGATACTATTGCTGATGGTCATGCTGATTCTGACAATTGGTATTCTTCTTTTGTGGTGGCGGTGGGGAACGTGATGGCGACGACACCGATGACGATGATGGCCATGCTGATGGCGACGATCCAGCTGCTGTTGGTGATGATGATGGTGATGGTGATGACGATGATGTTGATGATGATGCTGGTGATGATGCTGATGATGATGATGATGATGATGATGATGATGATGATGATGATGATGCTGGTAACGATGCTGATGATGATGCTGATGCTGGTGCTGCTGATGATGATGATGACGATGACGATGATGATGCTGATGCTGCTGATGATGATGATGTTGACGATGATGACGATGATGATGATGATGATGATGATGATGATGATGATGATGTTGTTGGTGATGATGATGATACGGATGATGATGGTGATGGTGATTGTCAGATGATGAAACTGACGATGAACGTGGTCATGGCGGCCAGGTTGACCGTAGTGATGGCGACGATGCTGCGGCTGAGGATGGTGCTGTTGATGATCATGCTGATCATTTTGATGATGGTGCTGATGACATTGGTGATGGTGCTGCTGCTGCCGATGGTGCTGAAGAGACAGCATCTGATTCTGCTGCTCATGATGGTGGTGGTGAAGGTGATGATGACGTAGTGGTTGATGCACGGCGATGCTGATGCTGATGCTGATGATGATGATGCTGACGACGACGATGGCGATGATGCTGATGAACATGATGATGTCGATGATGATGGCGATGATGACGATGATGATGCTGATGATGATGCTGATGATGCTGATGATGATGATGCTGATGATGATAATGATGATGATGATGATGATGACGATGATGGTGATGGCGATGGTGATGATGATGATGATGATGATGATGATGATGGTGATGATGATGATATCGACGAGGAGGAGGCGGAGGAGAAGGGCGACGATGCGGAGGGCAAGGGGGCGGGGACGAGGACGATTATTCTGATGACGATGATGCTGATGACGACGACGACGATGAGGATGATGATGATCATGATGATGATGCTGATGATGATGATGATGATGATGAT